CTTAAATAAAGTTTCTAATGTTTCTTTTATATGTGAATTAATCAAAACGAAAAAAGAATTTCTGGACAGGCCTAAATAACAAAGGGGATTGATTCTTTTAAGCTAATTACCATGAACACAACTATATCAAAACAAAATTTACAATTTTCTTCAGCACCAAAGAAAATCTTGTTATTTCATTCAAGTAGATTGGACATCGTTGCAATTTATAAAGAGATAGTTTATATAATTCTGATAAAATACTTTTGATACCTTCTTTGCAACTTCATGCATATAAAAAACAAAATTATCAAGCATGCTGGCACTGGTCAATTTACAAACACTGCCTTCTCAAAACCATTTAGGTAAATAAACTGGCATACCTTTCATATGTAGCTTTACATGTAAGTTTTCATCAATCATAATATCCCCCATGTTAGAAGTGACATAAAAAAAATTCGAAGATATAACACGCGGTTATCAATTCTTTTAAATGAAAGTTCTTCTAAACAAAAACTTTCATAAAAATCTATAATATTTTTCATTTTCTGAAATCAACTGCTTCATAAAGCAAAGGATGATTATATATATGAACTGCAGGGGACTTACGTAAAGCTGAGCTTGATTGAATTAGAGATGGCTTTAATTGATGTTTTGGTTGGTAGTAATTGTTGGTATGGAATTTTTGGAATAGGTCAATGTTATGCGTTTAATTCTTTTTGAATTTTTATCTTGAAAATGATCGATATATATCGCTGAGTTTTCTATAAGGCTCTAATTGATAGTTTAACAAACTTAATCCTACAATTTCGAAGTTCTAAATGATTGTTTTCAGGAAAATTAAAGACAGTTTTGTATGGCATGTGGTCGTTGTTACTTGAACAATCTTCAATCTTTCGCTTATAATTACTCCTACAACTAACAACACTACAAATTTTAGAGATTGCAAAGTAAACTACGGCTTATATTTAAAAACGTACATCTGATTATTTTTAAATTGGTTTATTTGTAAACTTCAAATCCATATTTTTTTGGCCCACTAGTTTTTTGCCTTTAAGGCAACAAATCCGGCCGTGTACATAGTAGTCCATAACTTAATGTCTAGATCTACGTATGAAAAAATATTTAAAAAAAAATAAAGGTCCACTCATTCTACCCAGTGGGCACAGGACCTAAAAAAGACGTCTTTTGAACGTTCTAAAGATGTCCAAAACGTTCAAAAGACGTTTAAAAGACGTCTTTTTTACGTTCCGTGCCAACTGGGTATATCTTCACTCTGATATGCTAAACACTCGTACTTTTCTATTTCAAACAATACACTCTTTTCTGAATCGCCAATAATTTCACAAAATTGATGAAGCCATTTTTGGCACGTACCACACTGTAGAGAATTCAACTCAGCTAGATCTGTAGAACTAGAAAAGTTAGCAGCTAAACCCTGGTGTCCCAGACTGAGACCAGATAGAACCTGACTATTTTGCCTTTCAGCCTAAAATCTAACGACTGAATTATTTTCATATCGTTGGTATAATGCCCTAGAATTAAAGCGATATTAATATACAACTTCAAAATGAAATTTCTTATACTTCCATCAATTTTATTATTAAAATATTTTAAGTTAACTAGAAAATAAAAATAATATATATATATATATATATATATATATATATATATATATATATATATATATATATATATATATATATATATATATATATATATATATATATATATATATATATATGAAATTATAAAGGAAAACTCAAGCAATGAGTTTAGTTTATAAATTACAGGATTTTTTCAATTTCTTATTTTAATTTCATACTTTTTTTTTTGATTTTTTTGTTATAATTTGTATTTCCGGAATTTTTAAATTAGCATTTTTTTAGTTTATATTTCCGCATAATTTTATTTATATTTTTGCTTAACCATGTATTTTTAAGATTTGTTTTTCTTCAGCATCAGCAATTCTTTTGTATTTGTAGACACGTTGTTTATTTGATAAAAATGTTTATTTTCTTCAAATTCAGAGTAAATGTTTTAGCTTGCACGGTAAACCAAAAATGTATATAGTTTCTGCTTTGTTTGTAAAAAAAATCTTTAAACACGAACAAACAAAAAAGCTTTTTTCAAATGAACATATTAAAAGAAAATTTTGAAGTAAAAAATATATTTTTAATGACATAAAAATCTCACATTTTTTAGATTTTTTTACGAAAATAACTTGAAGTTTCTAACTTCTTCTTTTTTATAAAAACTTTTATGAATAAAAGCACATTTTAAATGACATAATTATGTAGTTTAAGGGAACTTCATTTACAAAAAAATAGTAAAGTTATTTGTTTTGCCATGTAGTTGTTTTTTTGAGTCACAACATTGTGATAAACTAAACTTAAAAAACTAATGAAAATAACTTAGAAAAGTATAAACCACTAGGGAAAAAAACTTAAACTGATATTTTTGCTCTTAGAAAAAATTCTTATTGTAGTCTTACAAATATAATTATATTTATTCAAGTTGTAAGATAAAGAATTGTATATGTAGCAATAAGTTAAATAAATAAATATCAAAGCTGAGTCAAGATACATTTATAATATTTCAAAAGAGATTTTTTCTGTTACACAGAAAAAACTCTTTCCAGACCGAGTACATATATCTCGCTATTTTGAATATTTTTACATATAAACAAACCTTAAGTTTGGATTCCATAAGGTTTATTAATGAATAACTCATTCACTGTGTGTATAAATCACAAGGGTATCAATAATTTATGGTAACACTTTATCAGTTGTTCCTATAGTAACACTAAATCAATTATTACGTAACAAGTTTTTCTTTACAAATATTTTTATACTTTTATACTTTATATATATATATATTTTTTACTTACTTCTATACTTTATATTGTATAATAAAATTAATTTAATTTTTTTTAGTATTAATTTAATACTAAAAGTATTAAATTAATTTTATTGTACAATATAAAGTATAGAAGTAAATTCCAATTAATAACTACGAACTGCAAAAATGATTGAAATATTTTGCGAAACAAATTTTTTAATTACCACAAATATTTTAATTAATTTAAAAACAAAAAAAATTATAAACTACATTTTTAACAACTTAATAAGTTATTTGTTATTTGTGAAGTGTTCATTATTTTGAAAAAAAACTATAGTACATGTAATTTTATGTTTACAGAAAATGACAGATATTTAAAAAAATCAATTACAACAATATGTAATACATATATATATATATATATATATATATATATATATATATATATATATATATATATATATATATATATATATATATATATATATATATATATATATAATATATATATATATATATATATATATATATATATATATATATATATATATATATATATATATATATATATATATATGGATCCCCCACACCACACCAGTAGTAAAAAAGAATTTTGTAACTTCCGGTGTGTGTGGTGACTAGAATCGAAATAGGAGTTGTTTTTTGTTTAACTTTGGTATTAATAACCATCCTCAACCAAAAATTTCCAGATCCGTCATTGCTATATATGCTGTTTATATGATGAATAAAATGATAAAAAAAGTTAATATAAAAAAAATGGATTTATAAAAAAAAGTCAGGGCTCAAATAAAAATATGACTAAAGATGCATTATATAACTATAGGCGATGCAGTAGACAATTGTTAATTATATATAATAATAAAAATAATTTAAATTTTATTGAGAATAAATATTAATGATATAGCGTAGAAATATAATATTAGTTTTTTGTATATTATGTAAATGTTTTCAGGTTGAACTCATTAATTCATATTTTGATTGAACAAATAGCACATAAAAATCAGTTTACAAACGCTTAGTTAAAAATACCGATTTTTACATTTACTTTTTAACGTTAAATTACAAGTTGAGCGTAGACAAAAAGTTTTAAAAACAAACTTACTAAAAGAAAAAATGCATTAAAAGTAATGCATTGCGTGTATAATTGCGAAAATAATGTATAAATGGATTAATAATATTTTATTACAAATATAATTACAAAACAAATTTTGTCGTAAAATTTTTGTCTATTAAATTAAATCTAATATTTAAAAGTTTTTATTTTTTCTACATAAAATTTCGTTTTTTAATTAGATAAAAGCTTAACAATAAAAAGGTTTTTTTATTTCTATATTATTTATGAAAAACATGAATGTGAAAAAAAAATTACTGCGATATCATCTTTAAAGAACAACAAAAATATTAAATATCTTTCTTTAAAACTTTGAAAAAAAATGACTCTTATAATATATTAGAATTAGAATTCCCATGCCATCAATTTTTTAGGTTTTTTTTTTGTTCTTTTATAAAGAATTATAAAATAAATATCTTCAAGCTACGTTCTTCTTTGTTGCCCACTAAAAAAGAGATAATGTTTCTTAAATTTTCGACGTGGTAGACATTGTGTCAAACGTCTAAGATGTGTTTTTTATTAAATGTATTATGTGACGCGTTACTACAAAAATGGAACGCACTGAGTTATTTTAATTTTTTTAAAAGACCTCGGGTCTTTTAAAAAAATTAAAGGAAAAAATTAAACAAGCTGATTTAGTTATATACAAAATTTTAAAAATGGACCATGGTGAATTTTAATAAACTCCTTTCAAGACTTGATCATTATGATAACTTTATAAAACAAATCTTTCAAAGAGACTGGACCACCTTGATCTACAATGTACTTTTATATTAATGCAATTACTACTGCAAGATAAATGTTAAATTTTATTCAAGAAATATAAAATATTTTGAAAAGCCACTAAAAATTATTTCTTATAAATTAGTAAAACTTAATTAAATTAAAGTTAATAATTTTGTTCTATTTTACTTATTAGTTTAGCAATAAACTCAAACAAAGAAATATTATATATAACTAAATTAAACATAAACATAAATTGTTTTAAAATTTAAATAACTTATTTATCGAACGCAAAACTTTATTTAGGAATTACTTTCACTGAAAATTCAATTTTTACGTTTAAAATAGATATTTATAGGGTTATAAAGGTGGAGCTTCTGCTTTGTGTGTCTGCTGGGTAGTCACAAAGTTTTCGGTTAGTTAAAATAAAACAGCTGTTAATAAGCAAACAGAAAATACCGCTAACATAAACGTTTTGTACTAAGTTTAGTTAATTTAAAAATGTGAAAGAAAGAAAAAATTTGTGTATTTGTAAAAACATCTTTGGTTAAAACCATAAAAAAAAAAGAAGATTTGAAAAATATCAAGCTATAAACAATGATTTTTGTTTCGTCTATGATTCTTAAAAGATTGGTTTTACTTATTTTTAATCAAGTTTTATCTCAAAAGTGCCGAAACGGTGTTTTGAAGAAAGAAGGTTTATTTAGAATATATGCTTTACTTTCAGTTCACACGTGCGATCAGAATACAATTAGGTATCGGGGTGTTGCTCAAACAGAAGCTTTGATATATACTATTGAAAGAGCTAATCTCTTTTTTAAAAAACCAATGATTGGATATACTATATACGACGTTGATGACTACGAAAATATGGACTATTTAGTAAATGCTACATTAGATATTACCCTTTCTTCTGTTGAACGTTTGTCATCTTTCAATGATTCCACAACATCAACTTTATCAAAGTCAAATAAGTTTGAATCAACAACCCTGGGATTAGTTGGACTTGTCACGTCGGCTAACGCCAAATACGCTCACCATACATTCTCTTACATCAACCTTCCGGTAATTAGCTACTCGGCGACAAGTGATGAGTTAAGTAATAAAGACTTATACCCAAATTTTTATCGTACTGTACCTCCTGATGTTTTTCAGGTTACACTTATATCAAACCTTTTAAAGTTTTTTAATTGGACTTACGTATCTATTGTTGCTTCAGATGATTCCTACGGTAGGTCAGGTGCACTACAATTATCTCGAAAATTGGGCGAAGATGGTATTTGTGTACATTCTAAAAGTGTAATCACAGATCAAAATAAAAAAATTGATCTTATTATAAATTTAAATTCTAACCCTAAAATTAAAGTCATAGTTTACTGGGGAAACTTTATTTCATTAAAACTTCTCCTCTCTAAATCAAAAAAGTGTAAACTATATGGAAAAGTGTGGATATTAAGTGAAGGAGTTGGTTTGGAAAACTGGCTTATTGAGTTTATAAAAACTTTTCAAGGTAAAATTATCATGATTAATCCGCATACTTATATTGAAGAAAATTTTAAAGAGCATTTTTTAAATTTAACATACAATAAAAGTAGTCCATGGCTTCAAAAATTATTTAAACAAACGAATCCACTTAAAACCGAACTTGTAATGAGAAACTTCGGCGAACTATTTGATTATAGACGCGTTGGTTACCTTCAAACATCAGTAAATGCACTAATTTATGCTTTTATAAAGTATACGGAAAGTATTTGTAGCAAAGAACCATGTTTAAAGGCAATAGTTTCCATAAAAAATAGAAAAAAATTCAACAACATTTTGAGAAATGCAAACTTTTTGTATAAATTTAATGAAACATTTACATTTGACAACAATCAAGATCCAACAACAGCAAGTTATGATCTTTACGTAGTGACTGACTTGGGGTTTAAGCATTCTGCTTCTTGGACATCAACTAAAGGTTTTACAATAACCAATTACACACATTTAGAATCTTTTCAAATTTCTTCATCTTGCTCCAAGCCATGCCCACCGGGTCAATATAGCGTTTTCAAATATAATGGGTTCTGGGCTTGTGTTTTATGTCCAGAAAATTATGTTAAAAGTTCTAGTGGTGATGCAAAATGCATTCCATGTAACATAACAGAAAACTTTATAAGTAATTCTAACAGAACAAAATGTGTCAGGTTAAATCATATTTATTGGAATTTATCTATTTACACAAGTCATATGCTTGCTTCATTGTTTTTTTCTGTCACAGGTGCAGCCATAACTATAGCTTTTATGCTAACATTTTTTCTTAAAAGAAACACACCGGCCGTAAGATCATCAAATTTTTATTTGTCTATGGTACAAATGACGTTTCATTTTTCCTTATTTAGCCTAATATTTTTAGTTATAGGAAAAGAATCGTATTGGAAATGTATTTCTACAACGTTTATTAGCGGAATATTATATTTTGGGATTATTACATTGATTTGGTTAAAAGTAAGAAGATTAGTGGCAATATTTGGTACAATACAAAAAATGAGAAAAAGAGACATAAAACGTATAAGGTTTACAGAATTTTTAATATTTTTAACATCAAATTTATTTCATATTTTATTGATGTTAGTAATTAATATAATTCAACCATTACGCGTCATTCAAATAGTTAATAAAGACGAATTAACTCTACACAAATTATGCAAGTCAGAAACTTATATGATAGCACATATTGGTTGTGTTCTGCTTTTAATATTTTTTTGTGCCATTGAGATGTTTAGAGGAAGGAATGTGCCTTGGAAATACAACGAGACAAAGGTTATTGCATTTGGAATATTTTCCTCCATTTTAGTCAAGATAATTGCTGTACCACTAGGATTTAGTATATCTGAAGGTAATAATTACAAGCTCATGCTATGCATTGCTGTCAATATTTCAAACTTAATTCTTTTGATTTCTTCTTATATATCAAAAATTAGGACTATTTGGTTTCAATCAAAAAAAAACAATTGGGCTGATTTTCGAACAGGGTTTCGAAAGAATATGAACTCCGATTGTTCATTAAGTTCACTTTCAGCAAATAAAAAAATTTGAACATATTATTTTTAAGAGAACATATTTTAAAGGTTCTTAATTTTTTTTTACTTTTATCTATGTTTCATCTGCGTTTAAGTATTTGCCATTGGAAATAATTCATTATGCATAACTCTTCAGCCAATAAACACTGCTTGTTTAACTTCGATTAACGTATGTCATGGTTAGGTACATAGGTAGGCTACGCAAAACACTCAAATATTTTTAGCATATCATCATATAAATATTTATAACTATAGAATCTTTTCTTAAATGGAAAAAAAAAAAAATAAATAAATAAAAATGCTTTTTTTTTTCTATATCGAATATATGTATATATATATATTAATATGTATATATAATATAATAATTATTTATATATTTAAAAGAATAGAGTCAAGAAATGTAAGGAAATTTCAGCTATAATTTGGCTCACTGAAACTATGTGATGCTATTATTTTGCAAGAAGGTATTTGAAGACGAAATAAATAAGTAAAGACCTGTAACAGCCACTCTAATTTTAGATTGATTTAAGATAAAGTTTAACTGCATGCAACTCAAACCATCACATAATGTCTTTAAAAAAATGGAATCACAATAATTCACCAGTCTTAACTCCATGCAATTTTTGACTTAATAAAATAGAAAAATTTTAATTTTAGTTTTAAAGGAGATTCCTCGAACATTTTTATGCTTTCAAAAAAAGTAAACAAATTTTTTATTTATTTGCGAGAAAAGGTTTTTGATACTAAAACATTCGACTGTATATAAAAACTTTATCGTACATATTAACAAAAAAATATATCAAAATTTGATATATGAATGTGTATTCAAAAGCTTTTACTTAAGCTTTATTTCTTTTTTTGCATCAACAATTTTGTTGCAAACATTAATTGGAAATCTTTTCCTAATGATACCTAGTTGCTAGAAAAGGCTTTAGAGTATTTATAGATCTTAATTGTATTTTAACTTATTCCTTATCCATCCAAGCCCAAAAAGATTTAATTGGTTTTAATTCATAATTTAGCCAACCTAGAAAACAAATCTGTTAAGTTTTTTTAACCCATGCCTGCGTAAACATGCACGCGTAACCATGCACGCGTAACTTATTGCATAACTTACTGAATTTACAACTATTCGTTTTGATTAATCAGTTTTTCTATTAATAGATCCATGCTGTTTTCTAGCGCCTCTACATAGGTGCTTTGGTTACTTAGTCTTGTATAGGTGTTACAAACACCCTCTGTTAAAATAAAAGTAGCTCTAAATACTCAAAGTATTTTATATATTACTTAAAAATTACTTTTATTACTAATTATAATTTTTTTCCACTTTTCTAAAGACCACCAAATTTTCTGAATACACCACCGTAATGTGTGAGCCAATCTCTGGTTGTCAGCATGGATTTCTTAATAATCGAATAAACACAAACGTTTCTATTACGTAAAATTTTTCAAACTGTTTTAAAGGAAAGTTTTTCACCAGTTTTTTGAACTTATTAGAAAGTTCAAAATAATATTACCTTCGATTGACTCTTACTTTCATTGGATTAACCAATAAACAATAAACCAGGCCCTAGAACATAATTTGCCATTTATAAAAGAATATTTAACAAGTTTTTAAATCCCATTTTTAATTTAATAAATACTTAGACAAACTTTTTGTGAACTAATCAATTACAACTAATTGTGCAAATAATTGTTATATTTAAACATATAATTAAATAATATTTCGGCGAAATTCTTATTCTATAAGTTTTTCAATAGTTTTCAAATAGTTCAAAGGAAATAAAAGACATCATTATGAAGAAAAATTAAAAAAGAATAAAATTATAAAAAAATTGGGGTTCACAAAAGTTTCAGTGCTTAAGGCTTTCCTTAATCCGGTCTGTACTTGACAAAATTACTTAAATAAGCTCCTTGATGGAGCCTTTTCAAACATTAAAAAAATTGGTTTGACATTTAAGATGAAGTAAAAAATTTGCTTTCTTGTCTCTTTTGACTTGATATCACCGTAAATAAATCCGATGCCGAAACCTGTCGCGTCGCTGGGGTTGGTGTCACCCAATGCGTTAAACTTATGGTGTCACTCTTCCAGTTTTTCACTACTCAATTTAGACCTTTTCCATATGTTCTTATACTGTAGACCTTACATCTTTTACTATAGAACTTACATCTTAGACCTTACATCTTTTATAAAATGTTTTTAAAATAACTCAGTTAATAAGGGCAAAAGTACAAATTTGGTCAAGATTAACTCTAAAGTTAAATACACTGTATAAACATTTTTGTAAAAAATTAAACATACAAAAAACATGCAAAATACCATCTTTTGATCTTAAATATAAAACAAAAGATTTTAATATGAAATAAAGAAATAGCAAATTTATTAATAAAAAATATCGAAACACAAAACCTGAAAACTATTGATTAAGGCAAAATGAAAAAATAAATTAACACGAGTATGAGTAGCAACTCTGTCAAAGTTACATTTTTTTCATTTTGGTGTCACCCTCTTTGTCAGGTCGTGATGGTGTCACCCAGTGATGTCACTGACCAAAGTTTTCATTTACTATTAAAATTTCAGCAACAAGAATAAAGAAAGAATTTTGCCAAGGTTACTGAATTTCTCTTTCTCTTTTATCTTTTTTCAATATCTTATTTTTTTTAATGTATATATATCTCTGTTCATACAATTAAAAAAAAAGATAATAAAAAAACTTTTTCAAATGCAAAAAAAAACGTACATGAAATTAAATAAAAAAGATTTATATAAACAGACTCAAAGAAGATACGGATAACCAGAGTCAACACAATTTTTATATAGAAACTCTATATGAACTTACAAGATGTTTAAGAGCCAACACAATTTTTATATAGAAACTCAATATGAACTTACAAGATGTTAAGTAAAATAATAATAAATTTATATAAAACTGAGTTAAAATGTAAATATATATTTTTCATAATATAACTGCGTTAAATGTGTAGAGTAAAATACTGCTTAGGTGGTATGAGAAGTGTTGCTTTAGGCATATGAAAAAAAAATGTATTCCCCCTCTTTCTATTTATCATAACTGATTAGCCCATCTGGTAATAAATCTCTTAATTCTAAAATAGATGTGAGTGTTATGTTAGATTTAAGTAAAAGCTTTGGCTTAACCGATGGTGGTGGCAATTGAGTTGCTGTTAAAAACTTCACCTCTTTCCTCCATTCAGCCAAAGTAAAAGACTTTTTGCGTAAAAGTTTTTAAGATCTACAAGAGTTATGACTGAGTTCAAGTCGCTGTGTTTATGTCTCATGCCCATTGTGCTGTGACTGAGTTCAAGTCGCTGTGTTTATGTCTCATGCTCATTGTGCTGTGACTGAGTTCAAGTCGCTGTGTTTATGTCTCATGCTCATTGTGCTGTGACTGAGTTCAAGTCGCTGTGTTTATGTCTCATGCTCATTGAGCTGTGACTGAGTTCAAGTCGCTGTGTTTATGCCTCATGCCCATTGTGCTGTGACTGAGTTCAAGTCGCTGTGTTTATGTCTCATGCCCATTGTGCTGTGACTGAGTTCAAGTCGCTGTGTTTATGTCTCATGCCCATTGTGCTGTGACTGAGTTCAAGTCGCTGTGTTTATGTCTCATGCCCATTGTGCTGTGACTGAGTTCAAGTCGCTGTGTTTATGTCTCATGCCCATTGTGCTGTGACTGAGTTCAAGTCGCTGTGTTTATGTCTCATGCCCATTGTGCTGTGACTGAGTTCAAGTCGCTGTGTTTATGTCTCATGCCCATTGTGCTGTGACTGAGTTCATGATATTACATAATATAATTTTTTCTATATATTACACTACTTTTTTTCTCAAGCTCTGGGTGAGTCTATCGGGCTGCATTTACAAAAAGCCTTGACCACACAAGTTGTAAAAAATTTCCCAAGTCTTTTCAATATTTTTGCCAACCACATGTTACAAAAAAGGTTTCTATGGTTAGCCATAAAATTCTGATGACCCTAAAATTATTTCTATCTAATAGACACTTGAGATAACTGACAGGAGAATTTTCTCTTAACACAATTAGCGAAAATATTTCTGCGACTATTCAAACAAACTCTGCTGACCCTGAAAATTTTTCCTATGGAATGGGCGCTTGATATAACTGGCCAAAAAAATATTTCAATTAAAACTAGTCGCTAAAATATTATTGCATCTAGGCTTGGTGACACTAGCCATAAAATTCAAGTAACGCAAATCAAAAAAAATTTTGAGTCAACTCTGGTCATGGAAGACTCGCTTGACTTGTTTTAAGTTGCGCAAAATCCTATTATAAGTATCAATAAAAAAACCTCACAGTTGACCAACACAAGTCAACAAGAATACTCCCAGTCAATACAAGACGCGAAGAGTTCGCAATGGCTTCTTTTAGGTTTTGCAAAATCCTAAGGCTTCAGTTAGTGAATAAAACCACTCTTTAGGCTACCTTTTATCAAAACAAGTCATAAAAAGTCCCAGTCAGCACAAGTCGTAAAAAAATTAGGCGTCAAAACGTTATTTTACATCTACTGAAATACTATAAACAAATTATTAAAAATAATAATCTAATAAATCCATCAAATTCAATAATAATATTTGATCTATCTAGGACACAAAACAAAACTGCAAAATATTGGTGCCAATCTGTAAAAAATCACAAATGCAAAAAGTTCCTGAGATGTTAAATATAAAATAACCACGAACAAGTTACAACATGTAACTTGTTCGTACAACTTTAGTGGTTTCACAATCGAGCCAAACAATAATTTATATAATTTAAAAGATATTGAGCCCACTCATAAATAATTAGACAACATTAGAGTTTATATAATCTATGTCCGATTCGTGTTTATAATTAGATGGATAATTTTAAATATAGCAAGCCAGCTAAATTTTTATTCCGTCCTTCGACAAATTTCTGTTGTACATACTACAGTATTTTAGCCAAAAAGAAATTTTTGTGATTTACACAAGCAACTCAAAAGATCCGGAGAATTGTAAAAATGTTAAGGAAATCACCACTCTAAAATAAAAGTTTTACAAA